AATAGAATAGTATGCAGACAGTGAAGAGAATTTAGGGCTTCAATACAAACTCAGGCACAACTAAGCAAGGGAGAAAATGGTTTTGTTCTCACAGGAAGAACAAAACCAGAGCAAGGCAGCCACAACTGTTACAGATTTCTTACCTCAGCTTCTTCAGTAGGCCTGAGTTACTCATGCTACTCTATTCAAGGAGTTTCTTGTACCGTCTCTGAACTCTCAACTTTTTCTCCCATTTCTTTTATTGGACCAAATACAAATGTTTCCCTCTCTGCTTGTTCCCAATCCCTTAATCCCTTCATCCCCATCCTTCTATATGTGTCCTCTTTTCTATTTGTCTTCTGTTAAGTTTCCCAGTGTTGTCTAATCTTTATTTCTGTCTCCTCATTTTTTTCTGTTTATCCCAATTATAGAAAATGCAGGATGATTGTTTTCCCTAAGGGCAGACTGTCTTGAGCCTCACTGGAAAAAATATGGGAAGTAGTACAGCTCATCATTATCAGATTTCACACAAACTGCTTCCAGGAATGTGATAGCCATTTTGATTTAAAGCAGTGAGGTTTTAGCCTTCCTGAAAGGCATATGAGCTGATTGCCATTTTGAATTAGTGGAAAATGTGCATACTTATAACCAGTGTCAATGGAACATTGCAGTATCCTGTGTCACAAAACTAAGGAGGAGAAGATGACAACTGACAATGTATTTTTTCAGGTGGCCTCTATCTGCACGAGCACTGTCCTTGAAATGTTAATATTGTTTATATTTTACTACAATATAAAAGTGTGCCTGGATCAAAGAAGTCTGCAACACAATAACCACAACAGTGCGTTCCCCTAAATTAAACATCCTTCCTTGCTGTTACACTGCAACTTCATCTGGGGACCTCTGCTCTAGATAAACACACTGCTGCACAAAAGAACGTAAAACAGTGATTATGACTTCATTTGGGACTTAGTTCCAGTGCTTTCTAAGGAATTGTGGTAGCATTTCTTATAGAAAAGAGATGTTTCCTTCCTGTCACACACACAAAGAAATGGCTGAGAGATTCAGGTAAGCTTACTGCCACTGTCTCCACATTATTGATCCTGTGGTTCCTCAAGGCAATAAAAACCACTAAGTCATCATTGCATGTTGGTTACAAAAACAAAAGGGGAGGTGAATCTGAATATGGATTCTCTGAACTGAATATGGAGTCTCAGAACATTAAGAGAAAAGTAAGCATCACCAACCCAAACCTTGAGTCCTATATAGTGGAATAAAAATACATGATGCAGTTCACTGCATCATCTTTAATTCTGCTGCCTATAGAAAAGCTGTTGTGTTATACAGCTGATGTGTTTAAAATACTGCTATTTGCAATGCTAAAAATGTAACACAGGACTTCTATTAAAATAGCAAGTAGATTATATTTCAAAAAGAAAGATTTTAATGAAAGTATTTATGGATGATGAGAAAAAGAAGCATAGACCATATTGAACTTTTGGTTGTAAGAGTACTCATGCAAAGTATTAGTGTTCTGTGCACATTAACATTAAGCAAAAAATGGGGATGTCTGGTGTCTTTGCTTGAATGATTAATGAAAATGTTGAAGGATATTGATGTCTGCGTGAAAACAGATCTAAATCTCAGCAGTACTTAAACATTTCTCAAATAATTTTTTTTTAAATTGATGTTTCTTTTTTACAACAAAATTTAAATAGTTAATACTATTAAACACATTGCATAGGACTAAATCAGAGTTCAAAGTGTTAAGCAAATGCAAGAATGAAGCATCAGGCATGTCTATTCCTGAAACAGAAGCATGTACAAACACATGACCTTTCCACAACACTGAGTATTCTGTTAAAAGTTATTATACATGAATCTGAAGATCTACTTGCTGTCCATTGAGCAGATTTACATTAAAATACTTAGAAGGGATTAAAATACTTAAAAGTTACTCATCCATCCTTCCACCTTCAGTTAAGAATCCAGAGATTTGTGTAACTTGTTCCTAAAGACAACCAGTGATGGAAATGATACAGCTTTCCCAGGCAAACTCTTCTTGTTTTTCTATCTTCGTTGACAAGAAGAACAAAATTATGTCAGAAGGTATTTCTGGGCAACCATACACAACATGAAATACTCTTAATGCCAAATGGACTTTATATGGTAGTATGATTTAAAGAATATTAATGTTTCAAATTTCAAATGCAGCTTTTCAAGAACTATTTGCCATAGTAACTAGTTAGCACTCTGAAATCTGAAACGCTCAAATGCATGATTATTTGTATTCACATTTTTGCTCCTCCATTAGTCCCCATGAACAAAATTGTTCTGTCATCACCAGCTGTCATGAAATATGATTTACTGAATATATTACTGGGTTCACAGAGCTAAATCATCCCTTTAATTAATGTAAAACAAATAATACTATTTGATATAAACTCAATTATTTAAATATCATTAGATCATGTGAGAAAAGAAATCATTTAAAGACATAACTTAAATAGCTGGTTAGAATTATGAAGTGAATTGATACACTAAAGGCAGGTAATTAAAGAAATTGGTGAATACTAGATATGAATGTTTAAATTCAAATACTCTATAAGCTCATTTTGTATTATAATGAACTTTATCATTGCAATTGAAATGTACCACCTGGCTCAATTACCTTATATATGCTATATAATATATACTATATGTATCTGCCTATTATTTGAGTACATCAGAGAGCTAGAGAATAACACGATATTAAGAGGTTAGAACAGCTATGAGAGGGGTCTTCCTCGCTGTAGTGACAGCTATAAGGCTATTTCTGAAATAGAGCTCAGACTAATTTGGGAGAGCAGTAAACAAGTTGGGAACTTGCCCTGGATCAGCCTTTAAGCAACTCCTGTGATTCTGGGACCCTGTTACATAGATAACCTCAGAGCTTAGAACAGCATGCACAGAAGGTGAAGACAGTGAATCACTGTAGGATCAGATCGATGGGAGACAGTTGGTGGTGAGTTGCCACCTCAGAAGTCTTAGATGCTAAGAGTTGGGTACATGAGTGATATCGCCCCTTGTGACAGGGGATGCGCTGGTTACATCTCAGGATCCCACAGTCCTCTTCTGACCCAGCAGTATGTTTTCATGGTAGTAGAATGACAGGCATGGGAACAGCCTTAATTTTCAGCAAAATTGTCACAGATTATTAATGCGTGCTTTTGGAGAAGCATTTTTCTCCACATTTTACTCAAATGTAAACAGACATTTTAACATTTTAAAAACTGAATAAAAGTTTTTGAGTCTTGATGGGTTAAAGCTTGTTAGTTACAAAATTAGATAGCTTCCTCAAGGATGCTGGGAACATCACAGAGCACATGATGGTACTGCTGATGGTATTCAAAACCACACAGACATAAAAAATCCCTGGTGTCCAATTGCCTGAATGATGCAGCTGTGGCTACCAGTACATAGTCAGTTTGGAGTCAACTTTTTTGACCTCTCCAGGTGGTAGAGGTCGGTTTCAGTCAGACTGGTTGCAAACAGCCTGAGCACACAGAAAAAAAGTGGACAAGGCACCTCATGACACCCATCATCGTCAGTCCTCAAGTCTGTTGGATGCAAGAAGGGATTCCTTGTGTGGGGTGAGTATTAATCCATATGAAGTAGCAGGGGTGCTGAGTTTTAAGCTTCAGAGGGAAGGAAGTGCAGCAGAAGGTGGGGAAGAAGAAGATGAAAGTACACTACTTTCTGAATGTGCACATGGCCTGGCACGAAACCAAGAGCTGCTGTGGCTATCTGCCATTGGTAGTTGTGGGGGAACCAAGTAAAAACCACCACTGAAGGTGGGTTAATTTGGGATTCTCTGTATACATTTCCAGTATCTGTTGCTGATGAGCCCATCTAACATACAAAAATAATATAACATACAAAAATAATATAACGTATAAAAAAGACTATTAGAAATGCTCAACAGGACTGACAAGACTGATGGAATCCTAACTTCTAAGATGAACAAGTGATGTCATTTTTACAATGGGATTAAATTGGGGTTTGCACTGAACTCTCTCTTTTTCTAGAAGAAACTGACATGAATTATTGTAAATGAAATTTGTAGTTCATGTTCATAGATAGAATGGGGTTTTCTCCTTTTGCTGGTGATGCTATTTAAAGGTCACTTTCTGAGACTAGGTTATCAGAGTCACAGCAGAGGAAACACAGAAAACAGTGTTGATCTGGCTTGTGTGGAAGGAAGTTGCACACTTTCATGCCACTGAGGCTGAATTAAACCTTTCCTTTTAAACAACACTGATTTTTAGAACATAACGATATTTAAAAGGTCGAGGAAGAACTCTCTAAGACTCAGAATCAGAGTATTAGAAAGCAGGCATTATTTACTGCAGAGCTGGATGCATGGGGAATCTCTCCACCTAATGTGCACACCCAAGCCCCTTAGGTTAATCTTAATTGTAGGTACCTTATACATATTCATAGGGTTGCACAGTACAAATGTCACCAAAATCCGGGATAAAATAACTTGTCGACACCAATTTGATGCAGATAAGCAGACACGTCTTTATTGACGGCCGGACATGTAGGGGAGTGCTCTCACCAACAACACGTGCCGAGCACCAGAATCATACACCTTATATAGGACTTACTCATACATATTCATTAAGTCTCCATACATAAACATACAATCTCCAATAAATCATTAACATAATCTCCTATTTCCGAATCTGTGCCGTAAAGTTTTGAAATGTCTAGAAATAGGTCTGGGGTGTAATGTGAGTAGGTGGTCCATGAGTCGGTGGTCGCGATCTCCCCCTGCCGGAATTATCTGCCGCTTAAGGACAGTTTTCTTGGCAGGTACCTGCAAGCTGTGTCAGCAGTTCTGGAATGTTTATGTCATCTTTGCACCAGCGTATTGCCTCCTGGTGGTCGTCTTCGGGGATCTTCAGGTGGAAGGCAGGTAGT